CCAATAATTTAGTCTTTCAAGAAATATTTCAGCTTCGCTAGTTAAATGTTTTTTGTGTTTGATTTTCCTCATTTAAGGGAATAAAGAAATTGCTAAAGTTTCAATCAAAATTGAGTCACCAAGTCAAAAAAAAAAAAGAAGATTGGGCAAAAATCTTTTGTTTTAAAAAATAAAATAGGCAACAAAAGTTAACAAAAAGTGCTAAGTGTAAGGGGTAAGGCTGGGGAGATTAGATTCTTAAAGATACAGACACAAGAGACAGGAGTCGCTGGTTGGTGAAGGGGGAGTGAGGAGGAGGAAAAATCTAAGTGTGTGGGACTAAGTTGCTCGGACTCGGGCGTGGGTATCCGATACGGGCACGGATCCGAGTGTCGGATTCGGCAAAATCTAAATTTAAGATTCGGAGGTGCGGATCCAGGTATGGATACGGGTGCAGTGATTCGGCTAAGAAAATTCAAAATTATTAAAATAAATAAATAAATAAATATAAAGCGAAAAAGAAAGCCATTCAAGGCCTTCCACCAATTCTCCATCTATATCGCAGCTATTGTCTGCCAGAAGTCCGAACTCAAAACACGACCCCTTGAATTCTTGATTTTTCTGAAACACAAAGCAACAAATATGAGACAGAAGTACTACAATATTGAAGGCTTGCCATTTCTCATGTCTTAAATCTGTTTTATTTTTAATTTTTAGAAATCAAATCTCAATTTTCCACCAAATTTGTCGATGGAATCAGGTCAAAGTATCCGAAGTTACGCACCCGCACCCGTACCGTGTTGAGACGGGTGCGGCACCAAAAACGAAGAGTCCGCGCAACTTAGGTGTGGGATAAGGAGATGACAAGCAACAACCAGTAGTTTTTCAGCAATGACATCACAATCTCCTCTTCTCTACCAGTGGAACTAGTTATAGGGTAGATATAGACAGAAAAAGGGTACAGGTTTTGCAGAAGGCTAATCTCTTCCCCTAACTGCATTTGACACATGAAGTTTCCATGAAACTAATACCTAACACCATTCTTACCACTTTCGACCTTCTTCTACAATCAAGCATAAATGATAGATACGACAAGATAAAGGTATAGCCTTCAGGATAATTTCAGGTATCTTAATATTAAAGCCAAGCTAATATCTAGTTTGATTTGAACTGTCGAGTGAGGACACCAACATTGTCTTCTCATTTGCATCACACTCAATATTCTTCATCCTGATTACTATAGTTCAAAACTTCGGTCATTCTCTCAGTGAAGCTTCACAAAAGCTACTCTTGAGACGGATGGGAAGTGTTGAGGCCCATGCATGCGTAGGGTGAGTTGAGATATTCTCTCAAAGATTGAGCACAATGCAGTAGCCGAGCTACTGTTGGGGATGTAAGAGTGTGCCAAAGCAAGCTTCGGCGGGAGGACTTCTTAAATGATAAGTTAGAGCAAAGATGGAGACAGCCACTATACAACTGAATGTCTAGTGGAGTCCTTGGGTTGAATTATGCAGTTGGTACCGAAAGGTAATTCAGAGTGCAAAGGTGGTGGAGTGTAGGCTCAGCTCCAGGTCAAAAAATTCCTTGATGACACAAAATTCCCATGAAGCAAGAGAATCAAGTAAGAGCTAGCCAAGGTGATACCACTTGATAAGATCATTTATTGTTTTTACATGATTGGCATGAAAATTGATTAGTCAATTTTGTTCAACATGTAGCAAGTCTACTATGTTAGAAAATACAAGCCAAGGTGGAGATTTGTTAAGAAGTCTTAATTTTCAAGAAATTAGCAACGGTTGATTTTTTTCTATGGTCCTAGATACTCGATGCTTGAATTTTAGGTTCAAACATCAAGGTCGAAACAATCCAATGCTTGATTCAAGCATTTTGAATGGAAGATTAACCTTTGACAAGTTTGAATGGTTAGAAGGCCTAGAATCTTCAAATGGCGGGTGCAAAGTACTGACAATGAGCCTATGAATTGACGCACCCTTTTCTCGTTTTTAAGGCATAGAAGGAACACAAAGAGAATTATATGTGAGAGGTAGGGAGAATTACTTCCTCATACTGAATTGTGAAGTAGATTGAAAGAGATGTAAGACAACATTAGAGAATAAAATATTGTGATAGACTTGCATCAAACTCATTGTAGAGTGCATTTGTAAGGTATTCATTTAGATGTTTTTTGAGTAAATAAGAGTGTTATCTGTATTTTGTATACAACCTTTTTAGTTTTTATTACGATCCATTCCATCCTCCTCACATGTGGACGTAAGCATAATCAGGCTAGCACATAATTTTTGTTATCACCTATATTCTTTCCATCCAATTTAAGGTATGCCATTGTTCTGCTCATATCAAATGTACGCTTTGATACTTCCCATGGCGTAATAAAAGGGGGAATCTTCCCTTCCAAACAACGGGGTAACTCAATGGAGCAACCTATTAAAAACCATGAAATTGCAGAAATGCATTATCATTATTAGCATCAAATGGTCCATGTGTCGCACTTATGCATTTCTATTATGTCGTGACCTCTATAAGACAAAGTTTCAGCCATTTACTGCTTTCTCTCTCAAAATCCAACAATTTATGGTTCTTAACATTGGTAACTCCTTCTATCCCAATTTATGTGATGCACCTTCCTTTTCTAGTCTATCCTAATACCTTTCTATATTTAGAAATAATTCATTATTAAACTTCTTATTTTAACCTTAATGAGATAGTTATAGTCACAAATATTTATTGTTTGTTTTAGACACAAAGTTTCAAAGGTCGGTCTTTTTTTCTTAAACTCCTGCACAATCTAAACAACGTAATATAAAATGGGGTGCCCAAGAGTGTGGCCTAGCTGGTGAGAACCATGGGGTCTCAAGTTAAAATCTTAATGGAGGCAAAAACACTAGGTGATTTCTATCTATTGTCCAAGTCTTTCTGGACAGAGTTACCTGATAGGTGGGAGGTGAAACTAGCTGAGGTGGGCCGACACCACAGTTATAAAAAAAAAACATCATATAAAATGGGAGGCATGGAGTATTAAGAAGAAGCAAGCAACCTATCCACCCAAAATATTAAAGCCATCACACTGATGGCAAAATATTAATTGAGGATCGAAATTACTTTGGGGGATCCTCAATCCAATTGACGCACTGAAAAGCCCTAAAAGTTGAATTATAGAACATAAAATTGAGAGTATTTTCATTAAAAAAAATAGAATTTAAAATCAGATTACACACAAAGTGTGTGAAATGATGAATGTGTATATATAGCTCCATGGAGAGAGAGGGAGAGAGAAGAAAAAGGGAGACTTACTCAGCAGGAGATGACATTGCGAATTCAGAAACCGAAATTACAAGCTTGCGAATGAGAAGTTAGTTGTTCGGTGAGAAAAGATTTTTCCAATGTAGCTGTAGAGGAGGAGAAAACGAAATTGGTAATAAGGTCGCCCCTAATTGAAACTTCTAGATCATTCTTTGAAGGTCATGCGATCCGTTTTCCAGAGTGGATTGTTTTTTTTTTCTTTTTCTTTGAGAAAAGTATGCTAAGGCCTCATTTATTTTTCGGCAAAGGGTCAGAAATGCCCTTTAACTTATTAGAAATGGCTTAAAAATGCCCTCCTTCCACCTATGGGTTCAAATTTACCCTTTATTTTATTTTTAGACTTAAAAATACCCCTCTTTTAACGGAAAGATGATATGGCATTAATGAGCATTTTAACATTAAGGGCAAATTTGAACCCATAAGTGGAAGGAGAGCATATTTTAGCCATTTCTAATACGTTAAGGGCATTTCTGACCCTTTTCCGTTTTAATTAAACATGTAGCATTTATTTAGTCTGGAAAATAGTGAATTTATTTTTTACTAAAAACTGGAAAAAAAACGACTTTAAAAAAAACTGAAAAATATTTTCTAAAACAATATTTTTGTAAAAACTGGAAAAAAAAAATTGAAAAGCAATTTTCTAAAGTAATATTTTTGTAAAAGCTGAAAAAAAAATATTTCCTCTTCTTCTTCCTTCCTTGTTTGTCCATATGCTTTCTGAGTTCATTTTTTATATATTTTAGTTCTTCTAATGAGTTAGTACATCAAAACTGAAATATTTTCGTTTTTTTCAGTTTTTAGTAAAAATAAATTCACTTTTTTCTAGACTAAATAAATATTACATGTTTAATTAAAATGCCATTTTTCCAGAACTCAGAAAGCCAATCTATTTCTAAATAAATGCTACATATTTAACTAAATAAATGCTACATTTTCCGAGACTAATAAATTATTTTTTACTAAAAACTGAGAAAAAACAAAAATAGTTCATTTTTTATATACTAACTCATTAGAAGAACTAAAATATATAAAAAAAAATGAACTCAGAAAGCATATGGACAAACAAGGAAGGAAGAAGAAGAGGAAATATTTTTTTTCAGCTTTTACAAAAATATTGCTTTAGAAAATTGCTTTTCAATTTTTTTTCAGTTTTTACAAAAATATTATTTTAGAAAATATTTTTCAGTTTTTTTTATAGTCGTTTTTTTCAGTTTTTAGTAAAAAATAATTCACTATTTTCCAAACTAAATAAATGCTACATGTTTAGTTAAAACGAAAAAAGGTCAGAAATGCCCTTAATGTATTAAAAATGGCTCAAAAATGCCCTCCTTCCACCTATGGGTTCAAATTTGCCCTTAATTGTAAAATGTCCATCAATGCCATGTCATCTTTCTGTTATGAAATGGGCATTTTTAAGCCTAAAAATAATATTGAGGGCAAATTTGAACTTATAGGTGGAAGGAGGGCATTTTTAAACCATTTCTAATACGTTAAGGGCATTTTTGACCCTTTTTCATTTATTTTTTTTTTAACATTAACACCTCTAAAGATTAAGATATCTAAATATGAATACATATGTATGAAGATCTAAAAATTAATAGATTAACATTGTTTGATTTTTAACATCTGAATGTATAAAAATTATCTTTATTTGAAAATTAATAAATATAAAATTCAAATAAAATACTAATTAATCTAATATTCTATCAATAAAATATATATATTTTTTAAATATGGTAGTTGATAGTGGTGATGGCTAATGGTAGTGCTTGTGAATGCCGACTAGAGATGGTGGTTGATGATAATTTTGGTTGATGGTGGTGGTTCATGATAGTAGATAGTGGTGATTGGTAATGGTGGTGATTATTATTGAGGATGGTGGTGGTGAGTGGTGATAGTTAATAATGGCGGGTGGTGGTGGTAGTTGGGATTGAGAAAGGTGGTAGTTGGTAGTGGTAGTTTATTATGATAGGTAGTGCCATTTATGATTGCTAATGGTGATGGGGTGGTTAGTTGTGATAGTTGAGGTGGATGAGTGTTGGTTGTGGTTGAAAATGATGATGGTGGAAGTGGTGGGGATTGGTGGGTGGTGGAGGTAGAGTATGATGGTGGTGGGTGGTATGGTGGTAGTTGATAATGATAGGCAGTGGCAGCAGCTAATAATGAATATGGATGATAGCATCTTAATGAAATTAAGTCTTTGTTATAGATTTTAATCATATAGACCTATTCATACCCATTAAGCGGTTGTGAAATAAAAAAATAAACACACTTAATTATTAAGATCTGAATAATTAAGATTCAGCTTTAAAAACAAACGCACTTAAAGCATGTTTGGAAAGCCACCTAGAAATTGGATTTGGGTGTAATTACACAGTTTGGTATATTTGTCTGGCCAAGTAATTACTTCGTCAACATGAAATTGGGTGTAATTGGAGAGATGTAATTACACTCTTCAATTCTCAAGTGGGATGTGAGAATTGGTGGTAATTACACTGTGTAATTACAAGGTTACTTTTTAATTTCTTTCCTTTTTGTTTTTATTTTAATTTATTTTTTATAACTTTTTATTTCCATTATTTAATTTTCTATTTTATTTTTACTTTTTAATTTTAAAATATATACTTTTTGTACATTATTTATCTTTTATTTCTCTACCTTTACTTCTTGTGATTCCATGTAATTGCTCGTATATTTTATTTCTTATTTGTTGTATTTTCTTCATTTCGCGTAACTGCGTTATTATTCTAGTTTTTGAAACTACACCTCCTAATATTAGAAATAATGAGCCATTAACAAATTTGGCATATAATAAGTTATGTTATTAAAGTAGAATTTCGTTGTTGAATAAGGTTATAAACTTATTATGTTTCCTAATCCTAAGTTGTATTGGAATTTATTTTTATTATGTTGGAATTTGACATATGTTTAATTTTTT